TCACTTCACCACAAAGAGTTCATTCTGTGGGAAGATGCTGCCCTTACATGCAAATATTAGAAGAGGTGGCTGAAAATTTATTAGCTATGCACCCATCTCAAGAAGTTAGAGAGAGCAATATGAATCTAAAGAAATAAGAAGGAAGGGAATAAAGGTGACTGCAGGGGTTAGTGAAATAGAAAATAGTTCCGGTAGAGGGCAGTGGAAGCTGGAGGCTGGAAGCTGTCTCTTTGCACCTGACTGATCCCCTGGTTCAAGGAGCTGGAGGTCCACAGAGACTGGACTTGGGGTGAGTTTAGTTCAGCTGCTCAGTGCCAGCATCAGGGACCCTGTTTCTTTCCATTTCTCTGCTCAGGTTTCAGTCTTATCAGCTTCATCCCAAACCCAGGTACTTAGGCGGCCGCATCCTGGCTCCTGGCTGCCAAGAACTCGGGGTGGCAGATCTGCTTCTCTGTCCATGGAGGGAACATTTCCCAAAGATCCTGGAAGCCCCCACCAGAGGGCTCTGCAACACTGGGCCAGGTGGGTCCAGAGCTGAGGTGGGGAGATGCCAGCAGTGGTCTCAGACCTGAGCCCCCTCCCCAGAGCTGATGCTCCCTGGACTGGTGCGTCACCAAGAGGAGGGGTATGGATGCTTGATGGACAACCTCAGCGCTGGCATTTACCCAGAGGAGATGAAAACTTATATCCACACAGAAACCTACACAAGGATGTTTATGGCAGCTTTATTCATAATCGTCAAAACTTGAAACAATCAAGACGTCCAGCAGGTGATGGATAAATATAAACTGCGGTCGTTGGTCCAGACAATGGGATATGATTCAGAGCTAAAAGGAAATGAGCTCTCAAGTCATGTGACTTGGAGGAGCCTTAAATGCCTGTTACTAAATGAAGAAGCCAGTAGGAAAAGGGAACATAGTATATGATTCCTACTACAGGACATTCCAGAAACTGCAACACTGTGGACACAGTAACAGGATCAGCAGTTGTGGGGGCAAGTGGAGGTGGGGCGGGGGTGGGGGATGAGTAGGTGAGCATAGAGGATTTGGGGGGCAGTGAAAATCCTCTGTATGATACTATAATGGTGAATGCGTGTTATTATACATTTGTCCAAACCCACAGAATGTACAGCACCAGGAGGGAACCTGATGTAAACTGTGGACTCTGGGTGTTATAATGTGTCAGCGCAGGTTCATGGGTTGTAACAAAGGTCCCACTCTGACTGGGATGTCAATACTGGGGGAGGCTCTGCATGGGGCATGGTATATAAGAAATATCTGTACCTTCCTCTTAATTTTGCTGGGAACCTAAAATTGCTCTAAAAAGGTCTTTTTTCTTTTTTAAGTTTAAGAACTGAGGGGTAAAAATCAATGCTGGCCTGGGCATATGGGGCTTGGTCAAGGGCCGCTCTGAGCTGGGCACTTCTCACCTAGGCACTGAGTCTCCTTCCATAAAAGGAGGGCCTGGGACTCTCTCACCTGTGAGGTCCACCAGCTCTAACATCCTAGAACTTCAGACATGCTTCCACCAGTCAGGTGGCCTCCGTCGCCCCTCGGTGTGCTCCGGGTGCGGCCCTCCCAGCACCAGCACCCCTGTTTTCCGCCTCACTGACCTGTGGGCAGGGGTGTGGCGACCCTGAGGCTGCATTCTCTTCCACACCTACAAGTTCCACTGTGACCAGACCCAGCAACCAGTGGGGCACAAACACAGACAAGGTCAGGCTGCCCTCAGGGAGCTCCAGCCTGCTTGGAGAGACAAAGGGGTCAGCAGTCCTCCCCAGCTCAGTGTGGGGACCCGCAAGGTGAGGGTTAGGGCGAGAGGCAGAAGAGGACCAGGCACTTGGGCTGTGCTGGAGAAAGAGGAGAGCGGGGCCTAGGGTGTAAGCAGAGGGGTCTGTCCAGCTCAGAGGACAGGACTTGTGGGGCGGGAGGTGGAGCCTGGTCTGAGCCTCAGCGGCCCAGGGCTGCAGCGGATGGACCAAGACCAGGACCCCATCCCCTTGGCTGGGACTTGCAAGAGCCGCCCAGCGGCCAGCTTTCTGGAGGTCCTGTGCTGCCTGTCCTGCAGCTGAGGAGAGGCCGGCGTGGCCTGGAGAACATCGGGCGGGAGGGCACAAAGTGCGCAGCCCAGGCATCCTGCGGCCCCGTAGCTGGGCCCGGGAGGCCGGCCTGGAGCTTGAGCGGAAGGGTGCGGAGCCCGAGCCTCGCGGGCCCAGCCCGGTTCCTGCCCTTGCACACAGAGCAGCGCATGCCGCTCTCCTGCCGCTTCATCTGCTTGAGTTTTCTGGCTCAGCCCATGAGCCGCTTCCTTCCTTTCCATGGCTACACGGATCCCTGCCGTTATTCTGAGGATTTTTTGTTTGTTTTTTAGTAAACCTCACCTGAGGATAGTTTTTCCATTGATTTTAGAGAGAGTGGAAGGGGGTGGGAGAAAAACATCAGTGTGAGAGACACATCGACTGGTTGCCTCCTGCACCCGCGGTGCGGGGCTGGGGGTCAAACCTGCAGCCCAGGTACAGGGCTTTGACGGGGAATCAAACCTGCAGCTGTTTAGTCCACAGGCCGGTGCTCTAATCACTGAGCAACACAGGTCAGGGCTAGCCTGAGGTTTTTAACGTCAGTTGAAGGAGATTGAATTCTAATGCAGTGAAGTAAAGGATGTGGGCGATATGCTTTTGTTGTGCCCCAGAGAGCTGGGGGCCAACTCAGCACCCCTCAGTGGGGGTGGAAGCAGTGGGGGTGTCAGTGGGCCAAGAGGACAAGGAGCCCAGGCCAGTGCCTGGGTGCTCTGACCCACGTGTCTAAGTGGAAAGCCTGGAGTTGGCAGCAGGGGAGAT